GCGAAACAGAAACAATACTTGCAGCAAACAGATAGTAGCAGAAACATTATAAACTGAAAATTACTTGGAACGTAATTTATGAAAACGTAATGACTTTCTTAGCAGAACTCATTAATCAAAGTAGACTGGCTAAAGGACAAAATTTCCCCCTATCGCAGCTTTTTGGATTACCGCAGCCTAAATAAGTAAACTGGATGGAGTAAGAGATAATTTTCGACAAAGATATTCAGAGACAACTTTTAAGATTTATATCTTGCATAACTTTTGACATAAAATTAATCATTAACTTTATAAGCACCTTAGCTACGTGTCTGCTTTTACACTTCGCTTACCTACTAGTTATTTTACGACCGTTTAATGAATATTACGCTTCTTGAGACTTGAGGATCGAGTTATTTATCACATTTTAAAAACACTTTCTTTTCTTTACGTATATATCACGTAAATAAAAATGGTGTTCCAATTTATGGACATGGTTTAATTATATTTAGATAATATCTATTGAATGTAATGTTTTTTAAGTGAACAAATAAAGGCCCTGTGCAATATACAAGGTGTCCCTAAACTTATTGGCATAAATTTAAGAAAAGATTGAGCAAGTCAAAATAAGACGGAAACCCAAATAAATATTTTTCCTAATCACTTATGTTTTCACGATACAGGGTGATAAAGTGTTACCTACTTATCATATCAGTTTTTTTAATATAACCTCTACTATGGTACCTAGTCCTCGAAAGCTGATATTTTGCGAACAGTCACTTACTACCAAAACACATATTCACACATAATTATAATTGTTTAAGAGAACACAGTGTCGTAGAAACGGTGGTTGCTTTAAGCTTATTGTCCCATACAAACTTTGAGGTTAGGTTTTTATAACATTTGATGAAATTTTTAGATTACACAGTTCGGCTACCATTAAAAAGGTGTACCCCTCAAACTTCGATAAAATAAACTGTTTTCGAGATATTCGAGATTACAATAATTGTTATATCGCATTATTTAAAAGGATTAAAAGGTATATGATAACAAATTTTATTTTTAATGGAAAAAACTAAAAAGAGCATTCCATGAGCCTCAGGACTTTTTGCCCTGACCGTCACATTAAAAAAATAATAGTTTTTCAATTAAAAAATTTGTTATCATATACCTTCTAGTCCTTTAATGCGATATAACAATTACTGAAATCTCGAATATCTCGGAAACGGTTTATTTTATTTTATTAAGTTTGAGAGGTACACCTTTTTAATAGTAGCCAAACTTAGTAATCGAAAAATTGCATCAAATGGAATAAAAACCCGTAAAAACCTAACCTCAAAGTTTGTATGGGACAATAAGCTTAAGCAACCCCTAGGGTTTCTACGACGCTGTGTTCACTCGAACCACAGACTGGTCTGTGACTCAAACAATTGTAATTTTGTGTGAATATGTGTTTTGGTAGTAAGTGACTTTTCGCAAAATATCACCTTTCCAAGTCTACCACAGTAGAAGTTATATTAAAAAAACTGATATGATAAGTAACACTTTGTCACCCTGTATCATTTAAACATACGTAATTAGGAAAAATATTTAATTAGATTTTCGTCTTATTTTGACTTGCTTTATCTGCTCCTAAATTTATGCCACTAAGTTTAGGGACACCTTGTATATTTCGTGTGTAACACACGGTGTACACGTGTATTGTTATTTGTAAAATACGGTCCAAAGTTCCAAATAAGTTGAATTTTACTACTAAATTTTTTCGGTGAATATTGTGTTAAATTAATTTTCTAAATGATTTAGGAAAACCGTAAAGTAGGTAGGTACGGAACAGGATGGCTGAAGCTACATCGTCTAAGAATATTTGAATTTATTCTACGGTGACCTATAATTTTACATTTTCTTTTCTGATTTCACGCTAAACGCGATAGGTGGAACCACTCTTCCTATGTAATGTCAATGTGTTTTCATTATTGAACGGCGGTGTATTATAATTTAACTTTTGAACTGCGTAAAAAAATAAATAGGCTCAAAATTAAACAAGTACTATTTTATTACTTTATAAAGAAAGAAAATCTCCAGTAGGTACAAAAACGAGCAGAAGCTAGTATTACTAAATGTATTTCATTTTAATAACTGCTAAATAAAAGCAAATAGGTATTTACCAGGACCACAATGTAGGTAAATAGAGTATTTTATTTTAAACTGATGAGCGTGTAAGCCAGTGTACACCTTTACATTTTTATTCATTGTGTTGCATTTTTACGGTTTAAATGTCAGTTTTAGTTGTCAATATGTAAGGCTCGCTAGACAAAACATAAAAATTACAAATTAAATACTTATTACTCGTACTTACAAACCAAATTCATTGTACTCGTAAAAAATACTCGTGGAATTCACGAGTAATATATACGAGTATTTCCGTTTATTATATCGATGACTTTTGCCAAAATATCGTAAGCATAAAAACATTTTGTTTGGAAGTCTGTTTTAAATTATATAATAAATTATAGCCTATAGGTTTTATAACAAGTATATAGGTAAAATTATAAACTATTTAAGAATTGTTATTTTTATTTATTATTTTACGTACCTAATGTTTAAAATAAATAATTTTATAAATTTGTATTTTTATAGCTCAGGACCAAAGTATGTATAATGTATAAAGAATAATCAATTATATTAACTAACTTTTTTTTTCAAAAGTACTCGTACTCTTTACTCATGTTTTCACGATTACTACTCGTAACCGTAACCTCTCTTTACAAATGTACTTACGAGTAAAGTACTTACGAGTAAATATTTTAAGTACCTACTCGTACTTAAAATTTTACAAATACTTTTTTTAGTACTCGTGCCCAGCTCTATTTACAATGTACTTCTGCAGTACATGTTCCGTATATGGTACACGATGTACCCCTAATTTTCTGTATAACAATTTTTAATACAACTAGTTGAAACCTGCGCAAAGGTTAATGCGGAGGAATTCTTTAGGCCATATTATTTATAAGTCGCATCATAATAAAATTGCAAGAAAGATCATTACATTTATTAGCAAACCATTCCCAAATTTTTCTTTTACGATTTTTTATAAACAGGGCTAAAACGCACAATCAACGATTTTTAACAAAAGTCAGAGGTTAGGAGTATACTAAAAAAATCAATTTGTTATGAAGTCCTATATCCTAGATACATTTAACATACATAATGTTCTTAGCCAAAACTTCAAAAGCTTCCCTGTTAAAAATCACCCATAAAGACCAATAGAAAAGCTATTGGGATTTTCCAGCGGCAGCTCTATTGGTTTGAATTGGTCTCAATAGTGGTATCTGTACCATGAATTACCAATTCAAACCAATAGCGACACCGCTGGAAAATCCCAATACAGACCGATAGAGACTAATCGTATTTTATTGGTAATTCCCAATAGATATATTATAGATATATTTTATTGGTAATTCCCAATAGAGCTATTTGGATTTTCCAGAGGTACCGCTATTGGTTTGAATTGGTCCCCACTATCCATTTTAGACGTCTTTAAGGTAAAGGTAAATTTATGGTTAAATAATTTCTCAAAAATAGTGCTGTTTAACATTTAATTTAAATTTTATAAATAGCTTCTGCTAAAAGTAAGTAGTGGGGCCCACTGCTTACTTTTCGCGGAGTGGGCCACAGGACGACCTGTGCCCCTTTAAAAATTTCAAAACGCCAGGCGTTTCCATGGCCAGTAATTTTGCCTTAGTAAGGAATCCTTACTTAGCAGCTCAAGGCATTCCACCTTTATAGGCCTATGTATTGTGCTACAGAGGCGAGAGGTATGCATGGGTTGCCTACCTATTGGCGAATTTTGAAAATAAATATTAAAGTGGTATATACCAATAGGGTTCCTTGTACCTACACACCGATAAAATACCAATTCAGACCATTAGTTTATCTATTGGTATTTTCCAGTAAGAAAATTGCCAATAGAAACAAGTGGTCATTTGTATTAAATTGCGCAGGCGCTGAACATTTAAGTGGTATTTACCAATTGAATTTCAATTGGGAATTTCCTGTACTTGTAACTTCTTATAAAAACCAATTCAGACCATTAGGTAATCTATTGGCATTTTCCAGTACGGAAATTACCAATAGAAACCAATGCTCATTCTGTTGAGAAACCAATAGGCCCAATAGAGACCAATTCATTCCATTCTGATTTTTTATTGGTTTCTATTGGTCTCTATGGGTGATTTTTAACAGGGTTGTAGCTCGGCACCTACCCAGATAGCACAAGATAGCCCACGGACATCCTATTTAGGTTATTCTCGGCCCAGGCCGAACGGGTCTGGGACATCCATAGGACGTCAAGTCTATACCCAGTCCGTTTCTTTTCACACAGCACAGGATGTCCAAAGGACCTCCATTGGATATCTTGTACTATGTGGGTTGGCTATCATGCCTAAAGTTTTAGGTCAAGCAATTTTCGGATATGTAATAAATTGTGAGAAATATCATGTAAGTAAAAATTATATAAACCACCTATAAGCGTCGATTCTTAGGTCCCCTAGAGGTTTAGCATACACAAAACACATTACAAAATCGGAACACTTATTTTTACAAAGTCTTTTTGTGCGTTTAGAAAATTCAGAAGAGTAGGAGCTATCAAAAATATACAAAAAAGTTTCAACACACCCGTTTTTGCTCTGTTTCCATATTTCCATTTTTAAGTGTTTTAGGGCTGTAAGTAGTATTAAACTTAAAAAGCAATATCTTTTTAATTTTAAATTGTTAAACTGTTAATGACAAATAAAAGTCCCTTAGAGATCACATTTTTTTTTAAATATCTTATAAACGAAGCTAAAATCAATGTTTTACAAAATTAATATACTATAGGGGAATTCAACGCAACTAAAAAAGTTTATTAAAATTTGTTCAAATTTTTTTCAGGCAAAAAAAGTTTTTCAAATTTTTTTAAAATTGACTAAATGGGACGTTTTCTTTTTTTTAATGTACTTTTCAAAAAAAAAATTAAACAAATTGTGTCTTGTAAAATTCTATAAAAAAATCGTTTTTTTAGAAAAACTTTCTTAATTAAAAAAACTGCGAATGGTGCTAAATCCAGAGTGGGTCGACTTTTTTTCTATTCTTTTTTTCATTGAATATGTATTTTTTTAATTTTTTTCTAATCGTTTATTTATTTTCTTATAAAAACTTATTTTTTATAATAAAATCACTTTCATTCAAGTAAATGGTTCTATGATTATTTACACTCAATTAAAAATCAAACATAATGATTAATGCTTATGATTTTATGGTTAATGGGATTAACAAAAATTTAATTTTTTTATACCAATTTAACAAGCGATTTATTTTATTTATCCACAATTCTCATATTACAAGTATCATAATTATACTGTTTTGTGACTCATTATAAAAGTAATAACACTATAGTGTCCTATAAGTCATCCATAAGACAATTAATAAAACAAGATACGTCAGAATTCACTCGTATTTATTTATTTGTATTTGTATTTGCTAAGTACTCACAATAAATAACTATTTTCTTTGGTGTTTAAATAATTTACATATGTTGTACCCATTTGAATTAGAAAAAAATCGGTCAAAAAGACAACAATCTGTATAATCATTATCATTAATCATTAGGTTAGATTATAAATTAAGTGTAAAACACACAATGCACTTTAGTAAAAAAAAATATCTCTATTTGATCATAGTTAAAAGCATTTCAAAAAAGTGTAAATAAAATTGGTTTTATTCAGTAAATTATTTATTTTAAAATAATTAACAGAGCACGCGTGAAAATGCTAATAATATCAAAAGTTTTAGAAACATGATATTTTATAAGTTAAGTTCCCAAACATACAATCTACTTTACATTAATCCAATATTTAAGTAATTTAGTGAATCTTTTGCAAAAATAGTAATCTGAGAAACAACACCTATAAAAATTATTTTGACTAGTCACCCTCATAAAATTTTAAGACTTTAAGAGCACTTTTTACGGACAGATTAAAATTGAGACTATTCAATAAAAACTAATATTAATCTTTAATCAAAACACCTACAACTAACCTAACTTGTAAAGCTCTTGCAATTCCACATGTATTGGATAGAAATAATTTGTACACGGTAAACATATTTTGGACTAGAAAAATATACAAGATTAAATTAGTATGCTAATAGTGGTGCTTAATATTTTACATGTTCAGTTCTTTTTCTAGTGCAAAATTGAGATTAAGTTGAGATTTTTATCCTGTCCCTGTACCTACACAGTTAAAAAATGTAAGTGTTAAATAATTAAATATTATTTTAAAGATTAGACCAGATGTGCAGTCTTTTACCAGGTTATTAATATCAATGTTTGCCTTTTTAATTTTGTTTACCAGCTTGGATGTATTATAATAATAGTGAAAACAATTCTAAACTAAACTATAGTATAAATGCATTCGTTAATTCAGATTTATTTTAATATATAAAAAATAAATTCAAATTTAATGCAATTGTTGAATTTTCAAAATAAAAAGTTGTTTAATATCACCAAGAAAAAATAATCACATTTAATCAGCCTATGTTGTTGTAAAAGTAAGCCATCATTTAGGGACATTGAATTATTAAAATAATTTATACATAAACAAATCATGTTTTCAATGTTGATTTTAAACTTTGTCAATTTAAATAAATAATATAGAGAAGACTAGATACATTAAGTAAATAATGTATCAAATCATAATATAAATATGATTGTACGCTTATTAAATTAATTATTTCCCTATTTCTCTTATTTAACATTATAATGCCCAATAAATAATAACTATTCAAGAATATATGTAAAATATAAGAGGAATGCAACCGTTGACATTAAAGATCTAAATCACAATTAAATAACTAATATTTGGTAAGTAAAACGGTAACTGAGATTATTAACATTGAATTTAAAAAAATTAACCCGTTCAATCCTCCGCGAATTATAGCGTGTGATAGTTAAGTTCGGTGCGGGCCTTGTAGAACTTGAAGGCCACAAATCCAATGGCTACTAGACCCAAAGCTAGGACAATGCCGCCCACAAAACTCGGTCCGTCAAATTTTCTATCGCTTGGCGATGGGGGTGAAGCGGTTGTAGCCTTCGTAGGGGCCGCGGTGGGGGCCGCGGTGGGGGTAGTTGTTTTAACCGTAGTTGTAGTTGGGGTGGAAAATTTGGTTGTAGTTTCAGTTGTGCCATTTGTTGTAGTGGGCGGGGCCGGTGTTGTTGTGGTTTTTATTGTGGTGATGGTCGTTGCATTTGTTGTAGAAGTAGGAGTCGGGGTGCCTAGAAATATTTAAAGGAATATATATAATATATATTGTGAAAGCTTAGTATAGTTTTACATTTTGATCTTTTAACTTTGGAATTCTGTAATTCATGTAAAAATCAGTAGATAGTTAGATAGATAGATAGATAGATAGATAGATATTCTTATGGGAAATCAAACGCTTTACAAAAAAAGCCTCTTAACATTTTTGGCAAAATTTACTCAATCAAAAGTTATTCAAGGTTAAAGTTGAAGTCAAAAACGAAATTCTTGTTTTTTCCTCTGTAGATTTATTTTTTGATAATTTGATTTTTTTCTCTATAAATGTGTATTATATGGGTGATTCTCCAGAACGGAGCAAATATGCTGAAACTCTTAAATAAAATATACTAATGAAAGTAGTTAGCATTTAAATAACACTACAATAGACAGTTTATGTCTAGCAGTAGAACGTACTTAACCAAAAAAATAAAACATTATTTATTTTATTAATTTGAATTTGCTTAAACGCTTTAAAGTCAACTCCATGGACTGTCACCACCTAGCGTAGGGACAACAAATCATCCATATACTATTAGACTAGATGCAATTGTGAAATGATTCTTTTATATTGCATTTCCTCTAACTTGGAATGTATAAAAAAACACAACCAAAAGCAAACTTATTGATATTTTAACCCAAAATGTCGAATAAAGCATGAGACACCATTTCACAGCTGAGTTCTTTGCAGTCTTTTAATATTTTAGTAATGTTTGAAGACTTCGTCGTTTGAGTGATTTAGTGTTGATTTGTGTAAGCAAGGCAAAGGGGGTGTAATATTTAATAAAAATTTATAAAGAACAATTATTTGCGAAAAAACGGGTAAGTATTTTTTTTAAAGATCAACTCCATGTCTTTAATAACAAAGGGATTTAAATACAATTGAAATTTAAACTTTCTCCAGGTGAAATAACCAAATATGCTTTGCTTAAATTACAGTTAACTAAAGATACATTATGTACCATTTTCTAAAGTTTGTGACTTTAACTATAAAAACATCAACTCCATGGAGTTAAAAGGTATGTTCATGGAGTTGTTTACTTTCTTATTATTGCCCTAAACTCTTAGCTCATATAAGTTAAGGCATTATTAACGATAATTAATAATATATAGTTAAATTATAATAAATTAAATAAAAATTTTCTTTAAAAAAATTCTCTAATAGTATATATTATTATAACTATATACAGCATATACATATAGAGATGAAATGGATAGTTGTTTGGCCAGACACCGTATCCCGAATATCCGGCAAGAATCGAAGCCGGATAGCCGGATATCCGGCAGTTGAAAGATCAAATTTTGTTTCCTTTATTTGCATTTTTTAAGAATAATATTATTCTATTTAAATAAAAGTATTAATAGAATATTAAAGTACAAGTGGCGAAACGCACGAGACTGAAATTACGGCACGAGTCGCGAAGCGTGCGAGTGCCGTAAAGGACGAGTGCGGAAATGTCTTTCGCCACGAGTGCTTTATACTATTTTTTCTATTTCCGTTAATTTCTATTAGTTTCTTAAGAAGCAGCCAGTCGGGTACGAGCCTAAAAAATCAAAAACTTTGGATTTCGACGAAGTATTCCGTTTCTAAAATTAAAAAGTTTAAAATCAAACAAATGATAATTATTTGTTTTTATGTTTGTTTATATTTGTTTTCATGTTATTGTGTCAACTCCATGGTTCAGAACGTCAACTCCATGGACTCATTTATTTTTTGTTAAATAATAGAAAAGCATTAATTTTATTTTATAGCCGCCTTGAAATTACTTTATGTTATTAAGAAATACACATTGAGGTATTATTTTGCTAGTGTTTTATTAATCTTTGCTTTTTATTTTTTTACCACCCCAATTTATCCCGGTTTTGGATATTCACCCATATAACTAATTAACAATTTCCGATAAAAAAACATTATTGTTACTATTTAAACGATTAAATAGGTAACAGTGAAAATAATATTTTCTAAAGAAAATAGCTTCTTAAAGCTCTAATGTGTTATTTTTGATTTTTGATCTAAATCTCGTTTCATAACAATGCCCTTTTTATATACTTCAAATCTATATTCTTTTTCAAACTGAACCACCTCAAAAATAAAAAGACTATAAATAGTTAAAAGATTATAACTGTTAAAGTAAGGTCTACATTAGGGTGAGCCAAAAATACTAAACTATCGGATTTATGGGTTAAAATGAACCTACATACCGAGCAAAAAATTTCCCTGCAAGGCAAAATTTTTTGCTCAATTTTAAAAGGTGTCGGTGAGCATTCTAAGTTTTCCATTGAAATAACACGTAAAAAAATCTTTTTTCATTAAAAAGACTATAACTTTTGAACCGTTTGAGATAAAATTTTTTACGTCGCGGATTCTTGTAGAGCATAAAATTTCCCAAAGAATCTATACCAGGATTATTTTTTTTTAATTCAAAAATTCGTATGTTTGAAAGCTTTGAAAAGAGTAAAAAATCAAAGCTTTCAAACATACGAATTTTTGAATTAAAAAAAAATAATCCTGGTATAGATTCTTTGGGAAATTTTATGCTCTACAAGAATCCGCGACGTAAAAAATTTTATCTCAAACGGTTCAAAAGTTAGTCTTTTTAATGAAAAAAGATTTTTTTACGTGTTATTTCAATGGAAAACTTAGAATGCTCACCGACACCTTTTAAAATTGAGCAAAAAATTTTGCCTTGCAGGGAAATTTTTTGCTCGGTATGTAGGTTCATTTTAACCCATAAATCCGATAGGTTAGTTTTTTGGCTCACCCTAGTCTACATGATGTAGTTTATATTACGCTAAAAATTCTTATGCATTTTTTTTGCAAAATAAATATCCTCTGTATATGGAGAATGAATCCAAAATATAATGCCATATCTAACACTAGATTGTATATATGCATTAAATGCCATTATTGATGTATTTATACTTATTGTTTGGGATACAATTTTTAATAAATAACAGTACTTCGACATACTATTCGCCAATTTATCTAAATTTTCCAATCAAGTCTAGTATTGATTTCCACGCCTAAAAATGATACACTATTATTAGTTTCTAAAGTAAGATTAGAGCTATTTAATTTATTATGTTTCTTTGAAACTTAATTATTTGAGTTTTATTTTTGTTTAAAAGAAGATTATTTGATTTAAACCAATTATCTAAAATTTCTATTGACGAATAAATATGGCAATCTGCATTTTCAATTGCGTCTAAACTAAATATTAGAGACGTGTCATCGGCATATTGTATTATATTTTCCCTAATAATACACGGAAGTTCGTTCGTATAAATAATGTAAAGAAGGGGCCCTGGTATGCAACCTTGTGGTACTCCTTTCTTAATTAAAAATTTTTCAGACTTTAATTTAAATCCATATTCATCACGTTCAACCACTGATTGGGACCGATTCTCCAAATAAGATTTAAACAAATTTAAAGATACTCCTCTAATCCCGTATAGTTCTTAGTTTTTTAATAATAATTGATGATCGAATCTATCGAAAGCTTTAGACAGATCAAGGCATAATAAGAAGGTATTTTTAGTTAAGTTTTGTGATTTAACTACAAAGTGCTTGAAAAATTGCTCGTATTGTAGATTTCTTTTTCCTAAAACAAATTTGGGAATCATTAGATTACTTTCTAAAATTTTTTTAAAATCTATCGTAAACTACCGTCTCAACTATTTTGCCTATATTACTTAGTAATGCAACAGGTATATAATTTGTTATATCCCTTTTGTTTCCTTTTTCATGTATTGCCTTAATTTCAGCATGTTTTAAATTCTGAGGAAACGCACCTTTTTCAAGAATTAGATTAATTATATGAAATAAAAGATAAGATAGTTTGACAGAATTATGTTTCAAAATTCTTAGATTTATTTCGAATTCTGTAGAATTTGTATTTTTATGAGTATTTATTATTTCGATAATTTCGATTGAAAGGTTTGGATATAAATATAAGGTTATATTTGACTATAGTCTACAGACCATACTTCACAAAGGTTTTCGATCCCGCATATGCGCTTTGGTTTATCAGCTGATCTACTGTTCATCAACTAAAATGGGCAAAAGTGAGCGAAACCAACCAAAACCAACCCAAACTCAACAACACAACCCAACCGACCCCGCCCCATTGGCCCCCCGCCCCATTGGTCAATAGAGATATAATATATGTAAGGGTAGATACATTTTATAAATTTTGAACATTAAATATAGTCCGGTCAAATTAGACCAAAAAATAACAGTGAAGGTTCATAAATTTACAACAAGCTGAAGATCAGTAAAATTGTTCAGAATAAAATTATAAATAAAATTTTAAAGTTCCCCATCATTCCCCTGTATGGAAAAATTTTTATTCAAGGTCAAAGGTCAAAAAAATGAGTTTTTCGCGATTTTTAGCAAAACGGTAAGTTTTATCAGAAAAATACCCCAAACAAAAATTGTAGATCATAAAATTATCTATACAAAATGTATTAATACTTTTTTTCCTACGAGCCACCGTTTCTGAGATATAACGATTCGAAAAGTTGTAAAAGTTGTAATCGTCATAATATGCATGAGTACGCCACGTATATACATCTCTAGAGTTGTAATATACCTATGTTAAAATATTTTTCTATCGGTCATTTTAACTTACACTTAAAATATAAAGTATTCCTACATAAGTTATAACTATAAGAATATCAAGTGAAATAAAACCCAGTCCCTAAACTGGGTAGTAATTTTAAAGATGAATTTTATATTTCTCACGTCTTCTGTCACCTTATGTATGTGTTATCTGTCAATTGTAATCTGTCTACTGTCATTAGTCACTTGTCATCTGTCAACTTGACATCTGTCACCCATCATCTGTCACCTGTCATCTGTCATCTGTCACCTGTCATCTGTCACCTGTCATCTGTCACCTGTCATTTGTCCCTGTCATATGCCACCTGTAATTTGCCACCTTATCGATTTGATTTTGGGGATTTTAATTGGTTAACTTTTTTAAATATATTTAATTTTTGTTGGGTATACCCAACAAAAATTAAACGGGCTTCTGGCCTATTAGTTTTCATTCGAAGCTCATCTTTTAGTATGTTTGAAAATTTTTCTAAAAAAATAAAAAAAGAGCGCTGTTCGAAAAGTTTCCGGCGCACTGTGTCGTATTTGACCTGTATAGGTGACCAAAAGTCGATTTCTGAAGTTGCCCTACAGCAAAAAAATATACATAAAATTGATCCTTATGCTTTTCTTCATAATGTACAACCATTTGTTTATTTATAAAATATTAATAAGGTCCGTTACTTATAAAATTTTAAAACAATGCACAAACACATTTTTTTATATAAATAACTCGCGCTTGGTAAATATGCGATTAAAACTATAAATTATAATTAACAGGAGTTATATTTGGTAGATTGCTTTAAAATAAATGTCTTTTAAGGTATAACGTTAAAAATTAAAAAAATATTTTATTTTATATATAGTAATAGCCGTCCAAATTTTGTCATTTTTTTAACGTGCATTCAAGCAAACTTTTTGCAAATAGTAATGGTGCCCCAGGTTGCCCCAATTTCTTTTGTGTGTGGAAGTGTTTGTTAATATATGAATAATAGTCGTTATTAAGGATTTTGACGGGAAATGTTGAGAAACTTGGCTACACTTGATTTTATGTCAAAAAATGTGTATTAAGCTCATTTTTTTTAAACTTTTGTCTTTATTTTCCGAATTTTTTTTAAATCTGGCGCCTGCAGGCTTATAAGTCTATAATAATATTTAAGAAACGATAGCCAAGTGGCTATAAAAATAACTTCTTAACTTTCTTGCTAACAACATCCATTTCAAATAGCCAAATTTAGCAATCTAACGGATTTGAGAAAAATGAATGGCAGATGAGGTATCTAAACAGAAAACTTTAACAGGATAAGAGTACAAGTGCGGAATCCCTTTTAGCTCTGCAAAAGGCCATTAAGAACATAAAAAAGTACGTAGAATAAAAAGTTGTAAAAATCGAAAATAATAAAATTGGTATCGTCCCAGAAAAAAATGAACACCCTGTATAAATTAAATTACAACATTAAAAAATATGTATTAATTCAAATATTTTTGTTCCCTACAAATTTTTCATGACTACAGTTGTTTCTGAGATAGGCATGGGTTATCTTACGTGGTTTACCCTGTACTTAGCTTCTTTTAATCCTAACTAATGGTTAAATTTATTAAAAATGATCTTTTTGTATAACAAAAAAGCATTTTCAATATGTTTTTCAACAAAAATATTTTTGGTCACCTAATCACTCTGTTTACGACATAGTGCGGCGGGTCCGACCCGTTTGCAATATTTATTTTTTCCGTTGTCTGTATATCTTTTTTTCTAAGCGCCGTAGCTCGGAGGCCGTTGAAGGTTGAAATTTGCATCCTTTTTTTCTGCCCACGAGACCTATCCGCGGACCAAATTTTTCCGGTGTCGAAAAGGCCAAGTCCACTTTTTTTCGATTTTTTCATCAAATTTGGCACGTTCCGTTGTCTTCGCTTAACTTTCGAAAGAGCGGAGATTTTTCGGTAAAACTCGAGGAAAAGGTGCTTCGGGAGAAGAAGTTATCACCAACGGCATTCGGTTTCTTCTTTCTATATGCGGAGCTCCTAAAAAAACTACCTGCTTTCATACGTATCGATATGCATGTTTCGTTAAAAATTCTAAAAGTAAAAAACAAGTTCAATTAGCTTGTCTTCCTCCAACCTCAATGGCTGCTTATCAACATCTTTTTCGGGTATATTACCAAGTTCAAGTGTGGCTTGGTTATCAGGTAGAACCTAAAGACTGGGGTTGAAAGTTGGTCAACAAAACATTAGACCAGTTCAAACTTTACTCCCACCTGCGCCGGAAAAACTGCTGAACACAATTTTTCGCAACTGCAAAAAGGGATGCAGTGCTAAAAGTGGTTGCAAAAAAGTCGGACTGTTTTATTCTCTGGCATGTACGAATTGTCAAGGAAGGTCGTGCTCTAATGTTGAATCACCAACAGTGAAGGATTCATTTAATTCCAACGAGGTGACATGCGATACATCGCTATTGCCGCAATTTACTTGTACCCAGGATGAAGAAGAAGAAGAACAAGAAGAAGATCTAGAAGAAGATCAAGAAGAAGAATTTAAATGTTACGAATCAGACGAATAAACTTCAGTACTTTTTTTAAATTTATATCGCTATTATCTTTTCCAATCATTGCTAATTTCCGTTATTTTGCAATAGTTTCAAATTAAACAGGATCACAACTGACTCGTAAAATAGGCCTTCTGGGGAAACCACGTTAAAAAACGCGCTAAGTAAACTACCTCATATATAGGTGGCGTGGAAACGTGTGCATATTATGGCGATTATAACTTTTACAACTTGTCGAATCGTTATATCTCAGAAACGGTGGCTCGTAGAAAAAAAAGTAGTAATACATTTTTTATAGATTATTTTATGGTCTACAATTTTTGTCTGGTGTATTTTTATGATAAAACTTACCGTTTTGCTGTAAATCGCAAAAAAAAATTTTTTTGACCTTTGACCTTGAATAAAAAAATTTCCATACAGGGGAATGATGGGGAACTTTAAAATTTTATTTATAATTATATTCTGAACAATTTTACTGATTTTCAGCTTGTTGTAAATTTATGTACCTTCGAATGTCTAGATTGACCGGACTAATAATTTATATTTATTTAAATTATAGGTAAAATAGCGCAATGATAACAAACAAAATACCCACCAGGATGATAATATAACTTTTTGACTTCTGACAGTAGATCAGCTATTTACCAAAGCGCATGTGCGGGATCGAAAGCCTTTGTGGGTATAATGACTTTTAAATTTTCGCTATTTTAAATTGCAATTAGGTATATTAGGACAAACATCTCTAAAAAATAAATTAATTTCATTTAATTTCTCTTTACTAAGTTTATTATCGCCGATGCTTTTTAAAACATTGTTATCTTTGTTTTTATTACTATGTAGAATGTTTATTTATTAAACTCCAGGTAGCCTTTGATTTATTCTTTAAATTTAAAATGTATGCATTAACTATTGTTATTGTTAAATAGTTTTTTGGCTTCTAAGACAACTTTTTTATGTAGGTACCTATATTTGAGTAGAGTAAGTAATATTTTTTTTTCAATTAAATTATTAATGTATTTATAATATAGGCAGTTTCCTTTTTTTTTACTAGATATCCTAATTCCTTTGGTCTTTGAAATAAATTGGAACCTTTAACTTGAAGTAACGAATTTGGTCAATTCTTTTTCACACTTTTTAATATTATTGTTTGTCGTCATGATGATTAGGAATTTAACTACGATAATTATTAGACAATGTTGCCATTTAAAGAAAATATGTATCCATGTACCTTTTTAAATAACGGAGTTTACAATTTTCTTGGATTTCTGGGGGTCTGCAGATCATACATCTTTAAGGTGAAGTGCGAATTCTGGGACACCCTGTATCTGGCGTATATAAGAGTCTCCAAACCTTCACTTTTATGGCATGTTTGATGCCAGTAACATTATATTACCAAAAAAGTTTAACTGCCATGGCAGTAAATTACTTCCTTCAACAACTATTTAACTTATTTTAAAACTGCTTGACAGCTGTTAAATGTCAAATAAAATATAAAATAAAATTGGCTTTAAATTCCTAAATCCTTAAGTTCCTAATTCCTAAAATATTGTGTTAGACTATTGGAGATACACTCGCGTGTTATCCTACTCGCAACGCTCGTTCGGCAAACTCCACGCTTGAGGAATCTCCTCTTTTCCCACCAGTCGCACAATATACTTTTATTAACACCCATTTTATTTCTTAACTTTTAACCGGTGGGCAAAATTATACTTCGCCCAGGCACTTTAAAATCAGTGATACCAACGTACAACGTTATATGGACGTTGTGTTCTGAGTTTCTCCTATCAGTCGTTATCAATAAGGATAAATCCTTATCAATAAGAAATTTTTCTAGGAGACGCGTTGCACATGACTACCCTTGTGATTTTTTCCCTTGGCGTTAATTCGTATGAAATTTTTAATTTAAAAAAATCAGTGGTTGACCCCTCGGGCTGAAGTAAGCTTTTAGTTAAAATTGTAAAAAAGTGAGGTTATACAATATACTATATTATGTATAATTGTAAAGAAATATAATAGATTTTAATATTTAATGAACATCGTGCGGCTATCAATGACTAGTTTCAGTAGGAAAAAATATCGTAATTTTAAAGTTATTTTAAATTAAAATGTATTTATCTTTAAGCGTTCTATAATTTAATAGAATATTATGTCACGGTTCGGCAAAACCTGAAATAGCAAAAAAATGTCCACCAAATCTGACTTTACAGCTCGATTTATTTATTTATTTTTTTGATTTAGGGAAAACAAATTTTAAAATAATTTCAAGGTGAAATTATGTTTTAATAATATTAAAAAATACCGCATAAATAAAATTGTAGATAAAGATATATTTATTATAAAATATAAACTGTTATAGTAACAAACGGCATATTTATTATAAATGTGAACTATTAGAAAAAAACAATTTAGTAACAAACGGAATTTTGAAATAATTTGCCAAAATCTAGATGTGATTCGTTCACTTTATAACTTTTCCACACAGTTGCAAAATGAACGGCTTCTGCTATAATATTATTTGCCTGTGAAGTAAAGAAAACAAACTATCAACTTTATTATCAATAGATATTGTTATAACTACCCAAACCACAGTTCGGTCTCGCAAAAATCTTCTATATGGTAAAAAATTGCATAAGCAAATTTTAAAAAAGCCACCGCCACCATTCAAACCGACTTATCGAGAATATGATCATCTTCCAACGTCGTTCCTCCAAAATATGATTCACAAAAGAATCAAGGTCTTTGCATTCGAGAAATTTTCTCCATTGTCACCATTGCCAGTTTGTTTTATTATTATTATTGCTGTAGCTAGTTTCTCCCTTAATTTGGGTGAGCTGTAACTATTTGATGACAGTTCTAATAGATTCTCACTGCACCACAATCGTGCGATTTTTTCCTGGCAATTTGAGTAAAACATTTGGCACAAATTTTAACAGACTGCTTTTTGCAAATCACATTTTCTTGGGTGGCCGTCCAAGTTTTTTTTCGCCGTGGCAAATTATTAATGGTCGATTTGACACATTCGCAGATTTTGCAATCACAAACCGATAATAATGATGTACGAGTTGATACAACAAGTGGAAAAACTAGTTTTGAATAGTTAGCCCGACTGTAATAAGGGCTTAAGCACGTATTACAGTCTGCAATTCTACGTGCAGTACGCAATACTAATGCACGAAGGCATGCGCATAGCGACGTTTCGTGCAAGTCTATTGCCGATTCAAAATATCGGTCCTGGTCGATTTTTATTGCCAGTTGCATGCAAGTCTGGGGAAAAAATTGGTAACTTTTTTCATACCAATCCAAACTTTAAATTCCCTAGAGACGCTGGATTGTTTTTTGAAGTGCAAGAAAGATTGCTGCAAGTACAATTGGACGGCTTTCTGCAGGATGGGACCAACCCACACCATGATGAAACTGAGAAAAAAGCTATCAAAGATTTTAATAATTTTAAAATTACCTGTTAATTTTATGCCGATTTTGGACTTACGGAGGTTTAAGGGATATAATTTAATAATTTCATCAGGTGGGTTTTGTGTAAGGGTGACGAAAAAAATGGGTTTTTGTTGGTTGGTTCATTTCTGCAATTTATGAAAACTACTATCTGATGTATGTATGTATTTAAAGAAAGGGACAATTAATTATTTCCAAACAAAATACAACTGATATTACTATTATAATGGTAATATGAATTAATTTTGATTCTATTTGAAATTCGTCCACATCATCTTCCAACCCCACCTCATCTTGTAAGCTACCAAAAAAATGCATCAAGACTTTATATTTTGCAGAAGCAGGAAATCTTTAAAGACTTTGGTAGTGGGTCTACCAGCCTGCTTTTTTACAAAAAAGATCCAACCCACTTGCAGATATTCTACAGATTCTAATTCTGGATTAGTAATCCACACTATTATTGAATGTTGGTTGGTTCAATGATTAATAGATTTCACTACACTTGCATTTTGGCTATGACCTATTTTGCAGATAAATTGGACGGCTTTCTGCAGAATGTAACCAACCCACACCATGATGAAACTGAGAAAAAAGCTATCAAAGATTTTAATAATTTTAAAATTACCTGTTAATTTTATGCCGATTTTGGACTTACGGAGGTTTAAGGGATATAATTTAATAATTTCATCAGGTGGATTTTGTGATGTTATGTGTAAGGGTGACGAAAAAAATGGGCTTTTGTTGGTTGGTTCCTTTCTGCAATTTATGAAAACTACTATCTGATGTATGTATGTATTTAAAGAAAAGCGACAATTATTTATTTCCAAAGAAAATACAACTGATATTACTATTATAATGGTAATATGAATTAATTTTGATTCTATTTGAAATTCGTCCACATCATCTTCCAACCCCACCTCATCTTGTAAGCTACCAAAAAAATGCATCAAGACTTTATATTTTGCAGAAGCAGGAAATCTTTAAAGACTTTGGTAGTGGGTCTACCAGCCTGCTTTTTTACAAAAAAGATCCAACCCACTTGCAGATATTCTACAGATTCTAATTCTGGATTAGTAATCCACACTATTATTGAATGTTGGTTGGTTCAATGATTAATAGATTTCACTACACTTGCATTTTGGCTATGACCTATTTTGCAGATAAATTGGACGGCTTTCTGCAGAATGTAACCAACCCACACCATGATGAAACTGAGAAAAAAGCTATCAAAGATTTTAATAATTTTAAAATTACCTGTTAATTTTATGCCGATTTTGGACTTACGGAGGTTTAAGGGATATAATTTAATAATTTCATCAGGTGGATTTTGTGATGTTATGTGTAAGGGTGACGAAAAAAATGGGCTTTTGTTGGTTGGTTCCTTTCTGCAATTTATGAAAACTACTATCTGATGTATGTATGTATTTAAAGAAAAGCGACAATTATTTATTTCCAAAGAAAATACAACTGATATTACTATTATAATGGTAATATGAATTAATTTTGATTCTATTTGAAATTCGTCCACATCATCTTCCAACCCCACCTCATCTTGTAAGCTACCA